CATCTGAATCTTCATATCGTAAATCATTGTTCTAACTGTAGACTCTGGCCGATTCATAATTTTGACAATATCAGACTTTCTATAGCCACTTTTGTATAGTCCGATTATTTATGCTCATTCTATAACGGTAAGTTCGGGATTTTTACCCATTATGTTATGAATAAATTATCAGATCAATTTTTATAACCGCAATGTTTATTTGTGATTTTAAATTATTTTTTTATTTTGTGTACAACAATAACAAATAGACATGTAAACTAGAAGCAGGGCTTTCGATTAGTGCCAAAATATATTGATTTTTATTATATACGATTTTGAATAAATTCTGAAAATCTGACTGCGCAAACTTATTTCCAGGTAGTGTATATGTTAATTTTTAGTAAGTAAAATAAAAATTTGAATAAAAATTGCATTCCACATACCCGTATTATTAATAAACTTTCAATAAATTTAAATATCGTATCTTCATCTATTGGCTGTATCTGAATTTTTTTTTTTTTTTTTTTTTTGATTTTACTTAGATCGCGCAATTGGAACTTCAGCACCCTATGCGCACTATTCGATAGAAGTGATGTGTCTTATTTTTGGCATACGTCGAGTCCACCATAATCCCCCTTTGGTACTTTTAAACCCAGTGTGAATCTGCGAAACTAAGGTGAATGGATATCTAAGACACGGCATGGTTTCACCGCAAGGAGTAGACTGCCAAGACCCTGAACTGCCTATGTTGTTCAGATATATGGTACCCCCTTTTCATTCACATTCATCACAACTACTGGAAAGAGAGTCATGACATGTATCTGAATTTTAACTGTACGTTGATATTAGACTTCGTTAAAGTTATTGCGTCACAAAGAGCTATATTAATTAGCGTAATTAACTTTGTCATCATTTATAACATTTTTAACACAATTAACTTCTTTAACTTATTTATATTTATTATCTTATTTATTATTTTTATTTTTTATATAATTATTATGTATTTTATTTTTATTAACAATTATTTATAAATTAGTATTAGTTATGATATATTTCTGCTTTGACTACATTTATTAATACCTATTCAACTTTCTAGAAGATGGATTTTACTTCGGGTAATTGAATTTGTGTACTCATAATATATAAAGTATATCTGTCATTCACTTTTCTATATTGCAGATAATTTTGTTTAATTAAATTTTTTCATTTTTATTGTAAATGATGGCATCTTATACTTGTGGCTATCTTCATAATTCTGGTAAGATTTGTAGTAATGCTGTATTCGATCAGAAGAATGTTGACAATATTAGAAGACTAGAAAGCGTTATCCTTGTACTGATTGTGAAAAACCTACTGCTACAGCTTATAGACAATATGCTAAACATATTAAAGGATACTATGTGATGCAATATTATAATAAATTGTGAAATAAGACTCAGAAATTAGACTTGATAAAAGGTAAGACTTAGTATATATACCCTAAAGGTCCTAGGATTTGTGTAAAGAAAATGAGTTTTAAAAGGTTTTCTGTATATCGAAAAATTGATAGCATGCTAGAACTTGCTCAATAAACTTTTAGTTTACAAATTTATTAATCTTTAGAGGTGAGACTTAAAGATGAGACTTATTAGCAATGCAAGATTTTGTCCTAATATTTGTGAAATAGAAATGATTCTAGACTGTTTTTTTGTATATCAAAAAACAGTGATATATTAAAACTTATTCATTAAACTTTTAATTTGTAATCTAGATAACAACTAAGTCTTATCTCTGCAAGATGAGATTTAGCATATAATACCAAAAAGTGAGACTTAGCGATCTATGAATTCAAATAAGAATCAGCTTTAGAATTAATTATAAGATATCATGAAATATAGTATGCATTTTAGGCTTACATAATCAGGCCCAGCTCAAATTGCGTTACTTTATTCCTTAATTTTCAATAGTCTCTCTAAAGGCAAGCAGAATAGCATAAAAGTTATTATTCATATTGGGTTTGCAATGTCAGACCCAGTTTAAATTGCGTCACTTTGTTTCTTGATTTTTGATAGACCTTTCAGAAGCAAATAGAATAGTTAAATTTTTTTTGACATATTATTTGAGATTAAAATTGGGCTAGAATAACTATATCAAACAATATAATTCTTAATATTTGAAGGGCTAATTCCTAGCCAAATTCAATATCAACATCTTTGATAGCTAGATTTGAGCTAAATCATGCAGTAGGCTTGAATTTAATAATTGATTCATATATCTAGAATTGATTTCAGACAGTCAGAAATTTTTTTATGCATTATTTGGAAATTTTGTCCTAAAACTCACATTTTTGCCATACTTCTAAGTTTGATTCTTGAGGTAATTTTAACATATGATGAGACAACTATAGTATAGGCTATCATTTTAAGTTATTCCTAACCCTCTTTTCAGTTGTAGTGATAAATGTGAATAATGACTAGATACCATATCTCTCTATCTTACGGGTTTATTAGTTTAGTGATCTACTCGAGTATAGATATTTATTTACATAAGTTAACACAAATTCATATTAAGTTGAAAATTATACCAAAGAGTGGTTATAGTGGTATATATATATTGTAAGTTATATCATTCCATTGAAGGGTATACATCCAATATCATCTACTAGCGTATACCTAGTAAAAGTATCAAAAAAGTTTTTTATATGATAAAAAAACTCTCTTTTCTCATTGGATTTTATCCAAGAATTTTTACTTTAAAAAAGTGTTTATACAAGAGCGATCATGATTTAGCTTGTGAATAAAATAAAAATCCTTCTTTTCAAAATTATTCCTCTTTTATTTTTCTAATCCCTATTTATATAAAAATTACTATTGAAGTCTTATCTATGTTGTTTTTGTTAAATATTATTTTTTCCCTTTTTTACAATATATTTTTTTCTGTTTTTTAAAAATTTGCCTATAAAAGTGAACATCAAAGGGGTATTTCAACTAATAATTAGGATCAATCTACTTTAGATACATAAATTCACATAATAATATTCTCTATCCTAGCGTTATACATTTTATGTCTAAAGTATTTTAAAAATATCCAACACTATGTCTAATACTATTCAATATTATATTCAAATATTCAATAATATGTTCAAAATATTATCTAAGATTGTCTCATGATAACACTGCCCTATCCCTTTCTAATAGTAATACTCTTTTTTTACATATATCTGTAGTCGAAAACTGCAGAATTCTATGCAGTATTTTTTGGATTTGACCAGTTGTGTGATTTGGAATTCGTTTTGTGTTAGGGTCAGCTATAATCTATATAGATATCTTAGTATTTAGAAGTGATAGTTCAAAACACCTCTATTAGAACTTAGTGATATAAGTGCACCTGTGTTAGGTGATCACTATAATCTGGAATTAACTAGATAACTTAGTTAGAAACTTAATAGAGTCGTATTTTAAGTTGTTTCTTTTTGTAAATTTTTTAATGTATGTGATTGGGTTTTATAGTTACTTCTATGAAAAATATGTACTATTAGTTTAAGAATTACATTTTGTTTTATTTTTTGGGAATTTACTTTAGAAAGAAGATAATAAAGTAGTATTGATCACAGTTTTTTCTCTATCTCTTGTTTATATTAATAGTCATTTTATATGAGTAGAGTAGATCTAATGAAAGGATAGTCATATCAAGTGTATTTAAATAAACTTTAAATGTATTTACAGAAGATAGTTAATCTTTTGTTTTTCTTAATTTACTTATTTGTATTTTGCATAAAATCTAATAAAGATCTAGCAGTACCACATCGTTAAACAAAAAAAATTTTTTATATAATGTATGATAATCATTTTTATTGATTTTTCGCCGATTTACTGATTCAATTTGAATAAATATTAGCTTATTAGAATCATGACACTAAGAAGAATTAGAATCTAGTATCAGTTTTTGAGTAATCAGCATATTGAAAAATATTTATATACTTAAATTTCATTAAGTAAGAATATTTAATATAAATCGTTAAATTGCATAAAATTTGTCTTAATAATCGTATATCAAATTTTTACTGAATATTAGCCAGGTTTTAAGATTTAAAACAAATATAAACTATGTTTCTAATATTTGTGATTGGTGAATTATAAGCTTTTAAAGTAAGCAATTCTACTTGCATTTCTTTTGGAAGCTATTATATATATATATGTGATTTTAATATATATGTGATTTAATTAATATTTGAATATCTAAATATGTATATATATATGATTAATCATATAATATATATAATATGAAGTACTTTACTTATTAATCAATTTATATATCATATCATATTTAAAAATATTTTAAAATCTCAATTTACTGATCTAATTAAAATAAGTAAACTAATTTTATCATTATATATTAGTTTATCTCTTTAATATTTTTTATTCTAAATTTACAAAAAACTTTACTTAAAATCAAATAAGTATTTTTTTAAAAAAAAAATAATATTTTTATATTATTTAATTAAATTAAAAATTTTTAAATTATTTTTATTCATTTTATTTATTTAAAAACTTTACATTATAATTAATTGAAATTATAATTAAATTTTTTGCTATTTAAGAGATCACTGATTAAAAATATAACAATTTAAATTAAATAAAAATTATTATAATATAATAAATATATAAAAAATTTTTTATAATTTTAATTATTAACATTAGTTACTTTTTTTATATTGATTTAAATTAAAAGTTTTTATGATTTATTTTTATATAAAATATTATTAAATAAAACCTTATAAATTATTTAATATTAGAATTTTAAAAAAATCATCAATTAAATTATATATTTAAGTTATATTAATTAAAGTGATAAATATTTTATTGAATAATAATTAATTAAATTTTTAGATTTTTATATAAAATTATAATAAATTTAAAATAAAATAAATACTTTTAAATCTGACGAAGTCACGTGGTTTTATCATAGACGTGAATTCGTAAAAAATAATAAAAATCATCTCGAATTTTTCTAACCCTTTCTTGAACTTATCTTTAATAAAAATGAATTCCCGACCATTACCACCACCGCCAGCACTTTCAATTAATAATAAGGACATTCAGTTTCTTGAACAGGTATTGTTGAACTAAAACATATACTTCCTGTTATTAATGATTTACTTAAAACACGAACCTTACAGGAAACGACTACACTTCTTGTAAAAAACTTACCCAATTTATCCGAATCAGACCTACTTGAATTTCTAAAGCATTTTGGTCCACAGGAAATTCGTCTTGGAACTTCAAATCCGATGGTATGATTATGGATAAATTCTGTAAAATAAAATTAAATGTGATTTAAATATTGCGCATTTATTGACAACAGCTCTAATGTAATGATAGAAAAACTCGGCATTCTTGGATTATCCAGATCGTTTATCAGCAGCGAACGCATTTTCTAAGTTACAAGAATTAGGAGATATAGGAGGAAAAAAAATTCGTGTAGAGTATGCATTGCCAAGTAAAGAGGCTTTGCAAAAAAAGGGTAACCCTAAAGTCGCAGGAAATTCTAGTGATAATGCTAATGAAAATAGGCAGGATGATTCAGGATCATTTCAAACACTTCCACCACCCCCTCCGTTTCCACCTCCACCAAGTTTCATTGCTGAACCAATAGCACATTCATTAGGGTAATTATTATATTATTATCGTCCGTTATAAAAGCTATTACTTTAATTTTTATTTATTATTTATAGGATTAATTATCCGGCATCTCCTTCACTTCATTATCGTTACCCCCCTCCAACTGTAGAAATTTTATATAATATCATGAACGCTATCGCAGCTGTGCCTAAATTATATACTCAAGTTTTGCATCTAATGAATAAGATGAATTTACCACCACCATTTGGACCCATATTACCTGAATCAATACCAGCCTTAGTAATTATTATTTAAAAAAATATTTTACCAATTTACATTTTTCCATAAATCTATTGACGATTATATTTCAATTGGAAAATTTCTTTGACATATTAGCTTCAAACTAATACCGAAGGAAGTCTTAACAAGAAACGCAAGAAAAGAGATGAATTATTATCAGATGATGAATCTGAAATTGACAGTGAAGTCGAAGAAGAACAAATCAAGATAGGTCCTGTAAAAAAACCTAGAGTAGCGGAAATACTTCCTGGAGTCATGCAAACAATGCCACCTATCCCTGTCGCTTCTTATATGAATCCTACGTATATAGCGCCCCCTATTGAACCAATAACGCCTAAAGTTGCGCCACTGGTACTTACTGATGCATATTCTAACCAACATCCACCTTTAGAACCGCCAGTACAGTATTCTTCAACTTCAAAATCTGAAGCATACACTAATTCACTTCCAACTGAAGACAAAGCAGAGGAAACTGCAAATTCACTAGTTCAACAAGCAGAATCACCAATAAATTGTTTAACGTTAGAAGAACTTAATAATAATAAGATGCTAGAAGAAGGTCTATTTTTTTTAAAAATTTGCACATTATCATTGTCTTTGTGCGATTATTAACTTCTAACTTTGGAGATCGGACAATTTTAAAGGATTGATCAAGATATCTGCAATGAAAAATTACGAACCTGGACGACCCAATTCAACTTTATATATAAAGAATTTGGCAAAAAAGATAAAAAAAGAGGATCTAGAATATATCTTTGGGAGATATTTCCATTCTAAAAGGTATTTGATTATTTTAAAATAAGGTTTATCAATAAACTTTAGAGATTTTGATTAAATGTGAAACTTATATTCAAGTCAAATGGATATCCGTTTACACTCGAGAGGACAAGCGTTCGTAATATTTCCGGATGAAGAAGCGGCATCTCGGGCTTTAAATGATGTTCATGGTTATATTTTACATAATAAACCCATGGTTCTTGTGAGTTTTAATTTTATTTTAAGATTAATATAGTTATTGTTTATTTATCTACTTATTGTTATTTTATTGTTTATTAATAATATATAAAAATTTTATAGCAATTCAGTAATAAAGTTTCTTGATTTGATTGAAAATTTTTAGAATAATCAAAACGGTCGTGATAAATATAAGTTGATAGCTTGGGAGAATGAACCTTCAAATTTTAAATATTCCCGATTAGTTATGATGGAAAAGGAAATGAAATATTGAGTAGCAGTAAATATATCCTAGGATTATGATTTGGTTCATAAATGGATTGCTTTGATATAGGTTTATTGACTCTCGTGAAGCTTGAAGATTGATTGATTCAATTCACTTACAATTCGAACATAAGATATTATATAAACTTGATAATAATCAAGTTTTCGTTTAAAATGAATGTATCAATAAAGTAATTAGAGTTTATTTTAAACACTTTATAACAAATATCATAAGATATTTAAACAACCATACTAATACAGAATTATGATTTGTTAAATGGTCTTCTCTATATGAGAACATACGATATAAATCTATTTATTCTCAAATAAACGTTTTTCTTTGCATGACATGATGAGGGATCTTTTATTCCCGATTTTTCTTCGCATTTATAAATGTGATCTTTAAATAAAGTACCTTTGTCTTATACATAGGAGCGAATTAGTTATTCTTGGTAATTTCATGATCATCCAACTTTTTGATTTGAACTATTTCTTATATAAGTAGAAACATTCAATTTATACATTTTTCTTTGAATATTTAATACTTTAAATGACTATATAATTGATTTTTAACCTTAAATATTAAAGATATAGATATAGATCTATCACCGCAGCAAATGTATCGTTCTTGATCATTGCAACCATTTTCTTGACCAAAATCATGTGATATCTAATTGTGATGTAAGTTACGCGTTAGCATTTATTAAGAATAGTGTTAATTTCGTCAGTACATGTATTACATAATAACGAAAATAAAAATACTTCTAGGATTGATTTAACTATTATTTGTTATTTAAATTTAAATTTTTATTTGTATCTATAAATATTCACAAAATTATATTATATTTTTATACTTTGAACTATATGAAAATTTCATACCGAGTTTGATTTGATATGAGTAGAAATTTCTGAAGTTAGTTGATGCAAAGGTTCTTTAATCAATTTTAAAATATCAGTTAAAGAATAATATACATATAGCAAGACCTAAATATATCCAGCAAATAGATCTTCAATTAACTATTCAAATAAAACAATTTTGTAATATTAGATATAGTTTTACAGGTATGTAATTACTTTTTAGTTTCAGATAAGTAACAAAAGTTCTATTTAAATTTTTAATTACCTCTTCGATTTTTTCATCATCATCAAATTTATAACTAATTCATATATATCTTTTGATACCATATGCTATCTAAAAAAAAAAATAAGTAATTATCTGAGTTAGTTTATTCTTATTAAAATCATAATAAAAAAATTTCAACTAAATTCAAATTTACTTATGCATAATAAAAATCAATACTAGTTTTAACTTTACTAGGTTCAAGAAAATAACATTTATAAATATTAATATTATACTATTGATTCCAATTTAAAAAAATAGATATTAATTTTGAATTATAATAATAGCTATTATTATCAAAAAATATTTTGATCCATTTTGATTTTAGTTCTAATATTTTAAAAACTGTTTTAAAAGATTTTATAATAAACAAGTACAGTAAACTCTTGATATAATGAATTCTAGGATCTGAATATCAACTTCGTTATAAGCTTATAACGAATTTTTTAAAGAATTTA